TCTAAAAGTGTCTGAAATGTATTCGTGCCCCACGCCCCGGGTTCACGCTCCCCGCAGCTGATTCTGTGTCGCAAGGCACCGGGGCCACGCCACCATCGCCACAACAAAGCGCCCTCTTTCTCTCGTGTGCTCCTCTTTCACCCCCCCCCCCCCCAATCAGTTGCACTCCCATTGCGTAATCGACGCCTTGTCTCCGCTTGGAACTCTGCTGGTGCCATCGCCCTTGAGACAGAGCAGCTATCGAGCTCAGAGGGCCATCGCGTGGCGCTTTCAGACGCGCTTCTGCGGCCGTCTGGAACGCTCTTCTCCTTCCGATATGAGGAAGTCGCAATGCACTTTTAACTCGTCATCCAGATTCTTCAAAACGTCTTTGTGTGTTTAGTTTGTTGTCCTTCCCCCGTACCTCCGCGTATCACGGCTGGCTACGTGCGGTACCGAAAGACGTTCACCATGCGCACATACAGGAGCCCAAATATTATCGCAGCACCTCCTGGCTTTGATATTCCTCCTCTTTCTCCAAGATACCGGTGGTGGATCCATCAACCGCAACATCCGAGCATCACCACCACCATGCTGATGCTGCACCACAACTCCTCCACACACCGATACATTAAAGACGCGGCCACAGTGGTGCGACTGTGTCCATGCAGCCTGACCCACACGCGGAGGCGATGGGGGTCTCCTCCACCACCAGCCGTCCAGTTGGGGCGACCCAGCGACATCCCGCACGACGCCCCCCCCCCCCCCCCTCTGGGCACTCACGATGCCCCCCCCCTCTGTGTACTCACGATGCCCCCCCCCCCTCTGGGTACTCACGATGCCCCCCCCCCCTCTGGGTACTCACGATGCCCCCCCAACCCTCTGGGTACTCACGATGCCCCCCCCTCTGTGTATTCACGATGCCCCCCCCCTCTGTGTACTCACGATGCCCCCCCCCTCTGTGTACTCACGATGCCACCCCCCCTCTGCGTACTCACGACGCCCCCCCCTCTGTGTACTCACGATGCCCCCCCCTCTGGGTACTCACGATGCCCCCCCCCATCTGTGTACTCACGATGCCCCCCCCCTGTGTACTCACGATGCCCCCCCCTCTGGGTACTCACGATGCCCCCCTCTCTGGGTACTCACGATGCCCCCCCCTCTGGGTACTCACGATGCCCCCCTCTCTGGGTACTCACGATGCCCCCCCCCATCTGTGTACTCACGATGCCCCCCCCTCTGTGTACTCACGATGCCCCCCCCTTCTGTGTACTCACGATGACCCCCCCCCTCTGTGTATTTACGATGCCCCCCCCCCCCTCTGTGAACTCACGATGCCCCCCCCCTCTGGGTACTCACGATGCCCCCCCCCCCTGTGTACTCACGATGCCCCCCCCCCTGTGTACTCACGATGCCCCCCCCCTCTGTGTACTCACGATGCCCCCCCCCCCCCTCTGGGTACTCACGATGCCCCCCCCCTCTGTGTACTCACGATGCCCCCCCCCCTCTGTGTACTCACGATGCCCCCCCTCTGTGTACTCACGATGCCACCCCCCTCTGTGTACTCACGATGCCCCCCCCCCTCTGTGTACTCACGATGCCCCCCCCCTCTGTGTACTCACGATGCCCCCCCCTCTGTGTACTCACGATGCCCCCCCCCTCTGTGTACTCACGATGCCCCCCCCTCTGTGTACTCACGATGCCCCCCCTCTGTGTACTCACGATGCCCCCCCCCTCTGTGTACTCACGATGCCCCCCCCTCTGTGTACTCACGATGCCTCCCCCCCTCTGTGTACTCACGATGCCCCCGCCCCCTCTGTGTACTCACGATGCCCCCCCCCCTGTGTACTCACGATGCCCCCCCCCCTCTGTGTACTCACGATGCCCCCCCCCCTGTGTACTCACGATGCCCCCCCCTCTGTGTACTCACGATGCCCCCCTCTGTGTACTCACGATGCCCCCCCCCCTCTGTGTACTCACGATGCCCCCCTCTGTGTACTCACGATGCCCCCCCCCTGTGTACTCACGATGTCCCCCCCCCTGTGTACTCACGATGCCCCCCCCCTCTGTGTACTCACGATGCCCCCCCCCCCGTGTACTCACGATGCCCCCCCTCTGTGTACTCACGATGCCCCCCCCTGTGTACTCACAATGCCCCCCCCCCTCTGTGTACTCACGATGCCCCCCCCCGTGTACTCACGATGCCCCCCCCTCTGTGTACTCACGATGCCCCCCCCCCTCTGTGTACTCACGATGCCCCCCCCCCTCTGTGTACTCACGATGCCCCCCCCCCTCTGTGTACTCACGATGCCCCCCCCCTGTGTACTCACGATGCCCCCCCCCTCTGTGTACTCACGATGCCCCCCCCCTCTGTGTACTCACGATGCCCCCCCCCCCCTCTGTGTACTCACGATGCCTCCCCCCTCTGTGTACTCACGATGCCCCCCCCCCCTCTGTGTACTCACGATGCCCCCCCCTCTGTGTACTCACGATGCCCCCCCCCCTGTGTACTCACGATGCCCCCCCCTCCCTCTGTGTACTCACAATGCCCCCCCCCTCTGTGTACTCACGATGCCCCCCCCCCCCTGTGTGTACTCACAATGCCCCCCCCCCTCTGTGTACTCACGATGCCCCCCCCCTCTGTGTACTCACGATGCCCCCCCCCCTCTGTGTACTCACGATGCCCCCCCCCCCCTCTGTGTACTCACGATGCCCCCCCCCCGTGTACTCACGATGCCCCCCCCCCTCTGTGTACTCACGATGCCCCCCCCCTCTGTGTACTCACAATGCCCCCCCCCTCTGTGTACTCACGATGCCACCCCCTCTGTGTACTCACGATGCCCCCCCCCCTCTGTGTACTCACGATGCCCCCCCCCCCCTCTGTGTACTCACGATGCCCCCCCCCTGTGTACTCACAATGCCCCCCCCTCTGTGTACTCACAATGCCCCCCCCTCTGTGTACTCACGATGCCCCCCCCCCCTCTGTGTACTCACGATGCCCCCCCCCCCCCTGTGTACTCACGATGCCCCCCCCCTCTGTGTACTCACGATGCCCCCCCCCCTCTGTGTACTCACGATGCCCCCCCCCCCTGTGTGTACTCACAATGCCCCCCCCCTCTGTGTACTCACGATGCCCCTCCCCCCGTGTACTCACGATGCCCCCCCCCTCTGTGTACTCACGATGCCCCCCCCCTCTGTGTACTCACGATGCCCCCCCCCTCTGTGAACTCACGATGCCCCCCCCCCTCTGTGTACTCACGATGCCCCCCCCCCCTCTGTGTACTCACGATGCCCCCCCCCTCTGTGTACTCACGATGCCCCCCCCCCCCTGTGTACTCACGATGCCCCCCCCTCCCTGTGTACTCACGATGCCCCCCCCCCCTGTGTGTACTCACAATGCCCCCCCCCCTCTGTGTACTCACGATGCCCCCCCCCTCTGTGTACTCACGATGCCCCCCCCCTCTGTGTACTCACGATGCCCCCCCCCCTCTGTGTACTCACGATGCCCCCCCCCCTCTGTGTACTCACAATGCCCCCCCCTCTGTGTACTCACGATGCCCCCCCCTCTGTGTACTCACGATGCCCCCCCCCCTCTGTGTACTCACGATGCCCCCCCCCTCTGTGTACTCACGATGCCCCCCCCTGTGTGTACTCACGATGCCCCCCCCCGTGTGTACTCACGATGCCCCCCCCCCTCTGTGTACTCACGATGCCCCCCCCTGTGTGTACTCACGATGCCCCCCCCCCCTGTGTACTCACAATGCCCCCCCCTCTGTGTACTCACAATGCCCCCCCCTCTGTGTACTCACGATGCCCCCCCCCCTCTGTGTACTCACGATGCCCCCCCCCCCCCTGTGTACTCACGATGCCCCCCCCCCCTGTGTACTCACGATGCCCCCCCCCCTCTGTGTACTCACGATGCCCCCCCCCCTGTGTGTACTCACAATGCCCCCCCCCTCTGTGTACTCACGATGCCCCTCCCCCCGTGTACTCACGATGCCCCCCCCCTCTGTGTACTCACGATGCCCCCCCCCTCTGTGAACTCACGATGCCCCCCCCCCCTCTGTGTACTCACGATGCCCCCCCCCCTCTGTGTACTCACGATGCCCCCCCCCCTCTGTGTACTCACGATGCCCCCCCCCCTCTGTGTACTCACGATGCCCCCCCCCCCTGTGTACTCACGATGCCCCCCCCTCCCTGTGTACTCACGATGCCCCCCCCCCCTGTGTGTACTCACAATGCCCCCCCCCCTCTGTGTACTCACGATGCCCCCCCCCTCTGTGTACTCACGATGCCCCCCCCCTCTGTGTACTCACGATGCCCCCCCCCCTCTGTGTACTCACGATGCCCCCCCCCCTCTGTGTACTCACAATGCCCCCCCCTCTGTGTACTCACGATGCCCCCCCCTCTGTGTACTCACGATGCCCCCCCCCCTCTGTGTACTCACGATGCCCCCCCCCCTCTGTGTACTCACGATGCCCCCCCCTGTGTGTACTCACGATGCCCCCCCCCGTGTGTACTCACGATGCCCCCCCCCTCTGTGTACTCACGATGCCCCCCCCTGTGTGTACTCACGATGCCCCCCCCCCCTGTGTGTACTCACGATGCCCCCCCCCCTCTGTGTACTCACGATGCCCCCCCCCTCTGTGTACTCACGATGCCCCCCCCCCTCTGTGTACTCACGATGCCCCCCCCCCTCTGTGTACTCACAATGCCCCCCCCTCTGTGTACTCACGATGCCCCCCCCTCTGTGTACTCACGATGCCCCCCCCCCTCTGTGTACTCACGATGCCCCCCCCCTCTGTGTACTCACGATGCCCCCCCCTGTGTGTACTCACGATGCCCCCCCCCCTGTGTGTACTCACGATGCCCCCCCCCCTCTGTGTACTCACGATGCCCCCCCCTGTGTGTACTCACGATGCCCCCCCCCCTGTGTGTACTCACGATGCCCCCCCCCCTCTGTGTACTCACGATGCCCCCCCCTCTGTGTACTCACGATGCCCCCCCCTCTGTGTACTCACGATGCTCTCTCTGACGCGGTTGTGGAAGTGTTGCTCCCTCGCGTCAACTTCGTCTGCCATCGCGCTTCATCTTCGCGGCCCCACGGCGAGGAGGAGACGGTGAGGGGGGGTGAGAATGAGACGGTGAGGAGGGTGAGACGGTGAGGAGGAGGAGGGTGAGGAGGAGGGTGAGGAGAAGGGTGAGGAGGGAGGGTGAGGAGGGAGACGATGATTGATATTTGAAGGCAAAACGCCGCCGCGTCGTCCCCAAGTCGCCTGTCTGGGGTCCTGACGGCGGGAATCGTCCACAATCGATTCGTGAATCTACAACCGATTCCAGAACGTTTCGATTCTAGGCTCGATTCGCGTCTGTTGTGTCGGTGGGGGGTTCTCGAGTTGCGATTCCCGCGTATCGATTCTTGGCTGTCGTATCGGTACACAGATGCATTTGTCGATTCCCTATCAATTACTTACATTGCGTAATGACTTAATCGAACACCCCTTAGCCGTTACGATTGATGAATACGATTGAACCTCCGCCCAAAACGATTCCTATGGCCGACATAAATGTATCGATACATTTTTCCGAGTTAAAAAAAATGTTTCATATGGGATCGATACGGATATCGATCCGCGCGTTTCCGATCATCTTGAGAACGAACTGGACGCTCGCTCCGTCGTGGCTTGAAAAAGTGGTCGGGCGACAAATCGATCAGTGAGAATCTTCACTTACCCCGGAAGGTTTAGTAGGAAGCAGCTTGCGACATTGCTGTGTAGCGGAGGAATCCGATAAGCTGTGAAGCTCTTTACACACCACGCACCACGCCTTGTCACATGCCTCCAGCCTCGTTACACATCCTGATTCTGAAGCCGTTTCAAAGCACGTTAATTACATGCAGGTTTCTATACGTATTAAAACATTCCTTCTAACGATCGATGTAAAGCTTTCGTGACTGCAGGGATTCATCTTCTTGGTTCTTTCGGTAAAGTCACGTTGAAGGGAAATAATAAAATAATACAAATAAAACATTAAATATAATTAAATTTCGATGTAAAGCTTTCGTGACTGCAGGGATTCATCTTCTTGGTTCTTTCGGTAAAGTCACGTAGAAGGGAAGCAATAAAATAATAAAAATAAAACATATAAACATAAAATTATTTTATTGCTTCCCTTCTACGTGACTTTACCGAAAGAACCAAGAAGATTCCTTCTAACGATATGTGTATATATACTGAACGATGTGTAAATAATAATATACCGTAAGCGCGCCACATTTTAAGAAGTAAACATTCACGAGAAGACAAAGTTCACCTTGACAAGCAACATCAGTCTTTCGTCAGACTGCAGGAGGAATCCGATGAACCACAAAGCTCTTGTTCACTCACGAGACTTGTCATTGTGTTTCTGCATTGCCCAAGCGTGCGCTGGGAACGTGTTCTAGAGCGCGGGTTGTATTTGGTGGCAGAGATGTTAGTTACCTCGCCTGGTACACAGGCAGCAGCAGCACCATGAGTTCGATCCCGACCCCCTGCTACTGCTGTATATCTTGAGTTTGCGTGTTCCTCTCTCCCACGTGGGCCACTCTTTGGTTGAGCTATCATTTGTGGTCAGGTCGCTTCTGAATAAGAGCTACACCGCTCAATGGACCTTACCGGGCAAAATAATAAGTATAACCCGTTAAAACAAAGTTTTTCACTCTAAATCCTTTATATGCGTGGCGGCTAGAGTCCTCTCGTCCTCTGGCTTGAGATGGCTGCCACCTATGGGTCAGATGATTGTCTGCAGTATTAAACAATTGGTAATTAAATATTTGATTTGTTTTCCCTAAACAGTGTAAAACTTTGGAAAAAATTTTCACGAACATTGTCTCGCACAACGAGTCTGTGTGCAAAATGTCAGCTCGATTGGATCACGGGAAGTGGGTTAAAAAACGACCGAAAGGTTTGCACGGTCGTAAGCAAGAAAGCACGCAAGCAAGCAAGCGAACTTAATATAAAGGATTTAAAAAGGAATTACTCTTTGGTTCTTTCGGTAAAGTCACGTATAAAGAGAAAATAATAAATTAAATAGCATACGACGTTTCGATTGCAACACAAGCAATCATCATCAGGTATAAATGAAAGAGAAAACAAACCTAGTAAACTTAGAAATAGAATGCAATACAACAGAGAGTCGGCTAACATAACAGTCAACACCCTACCTGGTTGATTACATTCTTCCAGAGAATACTAAATTTGAGAGATACAAAACACAGAACCGGAGACATAGACAGACATATAAGCAGAGAGAGATAACACAGAAACACATAGAGAGAGAGACACACATAGGCACACAGAGGTTTTTATAGCTTTAAATAACTTTCCACTCATGTCAAGCAGCCGTGATCGGGAATCGAACTCGGGTGGCATGGAGCCAAAGTGTCATCTTGATAATGGAAACATAGCCAAGCATCTGGCTGGAGATACAACAACACTGAAGAAACAGACACTCAAGAAAAACACCCCCACCTGAGTTCAGTGATCAACGTTCAATTAAACGAGGATTTAAGTCAAGGCAACCTGCAGTCCTAGCGAAAGGCCCCGGGGGGGCTGCAGCAGAGAGACAAACACAACAACAACAACCACGTCTCCTGCCTGGCTCGCGTGCCAAGGTCTCAAAACACAAAGACAAATCAATAAGAGAATCTCAGTAATCACGAAGTCTTCTCTCCTCTTCCAGTACTCTTTGCGGCCAGATCGCTTCTGAAAAAGAATAACTCTGCGGGCTTTAACTGGTAAAATACAAATACTGTAAAGTGTTCGTTTACAACATATTTGTAGTGATTTGCTCTCTATCTTGATTTGAAGCTTTCGTGACTGCAGGGATCAATACTCTGTGGTTCTTTCGGTAAAGTCACATAGGTAGAAAAATAAGTATAACCCGTAAAAACAAAGTTTTTCACTCTAAACCCTTTATATGCGTGGCGGCTAGAGTTCTCTCGTCCTCTGGCTTGAGATGGCTGCAATCTATGGGTCAGATGATTGTCTGCCAGTATTAAGCAATTGGTAATTAAATATTTAATTTGTTTTCCCTAAATAGTGTACAATTTAGGGAAAATTTTTTCACGAACATGAATTGTCTCGCACAACGAGTCTGTGTGCAAAATGTCAGCTCGATTAGATCACGGGAAGTGGGTTAAAAAGCGACCGAAAGATTTGCACGGTCGTAAGCAAGCAAGCAAGCACGCAAGCACGCAAGCAAGGAAGCGAACGTAATATAAAGGATTTAATAAATAACGACGTTTCGAACGCAACAACAGGCGGTCGTCATCAAGCAGAGGAGTCAGCCTCTAAAGGCAACCTGTTAATAAGGGTTTAAATGTTTTACCTGGTTAATAACCATGGTGTAAACATATCCACCCGTGTTGTATCAAGAAGAAACAATTGTAATGCTAAACAGTAACTGAGGTTAAATGTACTTCCCTTTTTATTGATAACATGTAAAATTAGAAAACATATCTTAAACTCAGACAGACCTGGTCTTCACCTGAGGACGGCTGCTTGCGTTGTGGCCGAAACGTCGTGAGAATTATTGTATTATGTTTTATTTTTTATTAAATCCTTTATATTAAGTTCGCTTGCTTGCTTGCGTGCTTGCTTGCTTACGACCGTGCAAACCTTTCGGTCGTTTTTTAACCCACTTCCCGTGATCCAATCGAGCTGACATTTTGCACACAGACTCGTTGTGCGAGACAATTAATGTTCGTGAAAATTTTTTTCCAAAATTTTACACTGTTTAGGGAAAACAAATTAAATATTTAATTACCAATTGCTTAATACTGGCAGACAATCATCTGACCCATAGGTGGCAGCCATCTCAAGCCAGAGGACGAGAGGACTCTAGCCGCCACGCATATAAAGGATTTAGAGTGAAAAACTTTGTTTTTACGGGTTATACTTATGTAGCTTGATGTGAATAAAAGTGTTTAGAAATCAGGCGCACGGGAGGGCAGCTCAGGGGAGTGGGGGTCCTCGCGCGCGAGGCCCCTCCCCCCAGCTGGTTGAAGTCACGTGACGAGGCTGACACGTGTCGCCTGTGCGCCGCGTTCCACGCCGCTAACTGCTGACAACGTGTACAGTACAACACGCGTACTCATACACACAGTGTACTGTACTCATACACAGCACGTGTACTGTACTCATACACACAGTGTACTGTACTCATACACACAGCACGTGTACTCTCATACACAGTGTACTCTCATACACAGTGTACTCTCATACACAGTGTACTCTCATACACAGTGTACTCTCATACACAGTGTACTCTCATACACAGTGTACTCACACAGTGTACTCACTCACACAGTGTACTCATACAGTGTACTCGCACACACAGTGTACTCACACACACAGTGTACTCACACGGTGTACTCACACACACAGCACGTGTACTCACACACAGTGTACTCACACAGCACGTGTACTCACACACACAGTCTACTCATAGTATACACACAGCAGCGTGTACTCTCACACGGCGTGTAATCTTACAGCAGTGTGTACTCTCTACACCCACACTCCCCGGCTGTGGCAGATCCGCTGAACTCCTGGTCCTTGGGCTGTTGAGCTGAGTTGTTGATCTGCTCTCGGCTTCACCAGAGCTCGAGTGAGGAGGAGGCGCCATGAGTTTGCCGACCTTGCTGCTGCTGAGCGCCTCTGCGCTGCTGATGCTTTCCACGCCGGGGGCTGCCAAGAAGGACTACGGTCTGTACTGTGGAGGTGAGCATGGGCCGGTGTATTGTGTTGTCTGTGTGTGTGAGGCCTCAAGGTGTACCTAGCCTGGCGCAAGCGCTCTCGGTGATGTCGTGGTTCACCAAGTCGACAACTTGGGATCGATTCTCGGGACCCACTCGCTCGCCCACTCAGTCGTTGACTTGTTCATTTATCAAGTCACGCAGTAACTCATCTACTCATTTATTCACTCATTTATCAAGTCGCAGTTACCTATTTACCGATTCATTCACTTATTCATTTATGAAGTCATTCAGTAATTCACCCACTCACTTGCTTATCCGCTCATTAATGTATCAAGTAACGCAGTAACTCATTCATGTATCAAGTCATGCAGTAACTCACCCACCCACCCAACCACTGGTGTAGCCACCTGTCTGGCTTGAACCCGGACAGTCCCCGTAATCGGCTTCTGTGTTTGGGTGGCAGGAATTGATTTTTACCGAGATCTGCTATCGGCATTGTGTTGAACTTTATTTCAGGTTACTGCTCTGCTTTGATACACTTAGGCGGACTCGTTGACCCACTCACCTGTCCACCGAATCGCTCAACCCTCACCCATTCACTCACTCGCCCACTTATCCACCCACTACGGTTACCACCTGTCCGGGTTTGACGGTCCGAAAATTTGCTTACGTGTCGGAGAATTGGCCAATGCGATCGGGAATTGGCATCTGTGTCCGGGTGGAAGAAATTGATTTGTACCAAGAACCTGGTACCTGCGTTACTTTGGGCGTCATCGCAATTGACACTGCTCGGTTCTGATGCTGGACGGAGTGCCGGCTGAGAAATATGTCTGGGTTTGGCTGCCGTGAGAATAAAATGTGGCAACCCTAATTCCCCCACCGTGGCCAATGTCAGTTGTATCTGGTGTCTGAAACCTGACCTGGACTCCCTCTACTCCCCGCTAGGTCGACTGAGCCTAAAATGAGTACCATGGCGGGTATTATTTTGAAGGAATATCGGTACTACTAAGACAGTGGCAGTGAGGCATGCGTTGTGCTGTATATGTATGTACGCTGAACTTCTTTTGTCCCGTACGTAGCCAACCGGGCTAATCAGTGGTGCGGAGTACAGCAAGAGGTGACGGCACAGATAATCGGAGATGACCCCTGGTTTGCATAACGTGGGAAATAATCAGAAATGGAAGTGTTGTGATCTGTAGTGCGGTGAGTGAGTGGGTGAGTGAGTTATTATATTTATCACCTGCAGTGTGGTGGTGGTGGTGGTAGCTGAACACTGTGTGGTAGGTGAGACGAAACAGTCGGTGTCTGTTTCGATTTAAAGCTTTCGTGACTGCAGGGATTCATCTTCTTGGTTCTTTCCGTAAAGTCACCTGAGGACGGCTGCTTGCGTTGTGGCCGAAACGTCGTGAGAATTATTTTATTATGTTTTACTTTTATTATTTTATTATTTCCCTTCAACGTGACTTTACCGAAAGAACCAAGAAGATGAGTCGGTGTCTGGTTGACCAAGTTTTCACGATTGGCGGATAGGAATCGGTGAGTGGAGTTCACGGGAACAGCAGCTATGGTAGTAGCGATAGAAGAGTGACAAGGAGGTGAGTATATAATTGGGGTTACCAATCGCCCCGTCTGCTGCTTCACTATGAATTATATCCAGTGGGTGAGTGAGTGAGCGAGCGAGTGATTGGAGTGAATCAGTAAGTGCTGCATCATCAATGGTCCCGGCTGCTGTTTTACTCTGAATTCTATCCGGTGGGTGGATGAGTGAGCACTGCATCATCATTAGTCACCCTGACTGCTGCTTCACTATCAGGTGCAGCACTGGGTGCCACTCCAGACATGACACGATATAGGTATCTCAGCTTGGATTGAAGTAATGATGATGGTCTTCGTTGTCGTCATCATCGTCGTCGTTGTTTGTGGGGGTGCTCAGCTTGCCGAGCGCTGGTGGACGAGGTGACGTGGGAGGTAGGCCAGGTGGACCCCAAGAAAACCATCCAGGTGGGCTCCTTCCGCATCAACCCCGACGGAACCCAGGACACCACCGAGGTGAACCCACGTCAATCATCTCGTGCCCACCTCCGCTCCGTGACCAAAGCCCCCTCTCAGTCTTTTCCTTCTTAATATTCTCGCTTTGTCGCTCTCTATACCCAATCCCCTTTTCGATCTCCCTCCTTTCTTGCTGCACCCCACTACTGGAATCAACTTCCCCTGTACATTAACCCTTTCCCATTCCGATGACGTACGTATGCGTACGTCATCAGTTTTCCTTCTAGTTCCGTTTCGATGACGTACGCCTCCCCCCTTCCCCCCCAACCAACCGTCGCCACACAACCAGTCGTCACGTCGCCGTGCCGTGGCCGCTGTCGCCCCCCCTCGGCCCCCACCCCCCTTCCACCGCCAGGTGCCTTTTGCCCGCTCGGAGGCCCACCTGCTGGAGGTGCTGGAGGGCGTGTGCCAGCGCGTGGGCGACTACGCCGAGGTGGACGCCGGCTCGGGGAAGCCGCGCTCGTTCGTGCGCACGACCGCCCGTCCCGGCGAGAAGCTCGACCTGACCAACGTCACCATCAGCGGCGACATGGGCACCATGCTCAAGTTCGCTGTGGGTTCCCGCTGCCACCGGTCCCCTGCACCCCCCGGCCTGCTGGACGATGCGAGACGATTCTGTTGCTGTTTGTTCTCGTCATCGTGGAGAGGGGAGAGGGACGAGGAAGGCGATGGGTAGTGGAGAAGTCGTGGCGCTTATAAGGTCGCACTCATTACACACAAAGTGCTTGCCACAAGTGAACCACGATACCTTGCTGATCTCGTCAAAGAGCATAAACCATCACGCGAACTCCAGTCGGCTTTGCCGAGACTAAAGACTGTTTTTGAGGAAGGTCCTGCCAGGGTTTTGGAGGAGTAGGGGGGCGATGTTGCAGCTGCTGCGATTTGTCTAGCATTTATATATTTACTAGCGGAAGTACCCGGCTTTGCCCGGGTGAAAAATATATTTCTTAAAAACCTTACATATATATACACAGATACTAAGGTATTGTCAAAGCCCGGTGGGCTGTTTGTACATTTCTCCACCAACAAATATATAAGAGGCTTTCACAAGTCCAAAAAGTTGTAGAAAGTGTGGGGTAAATAGTTGATGTCAAAAGGTTTCCGAAAATTGCGGTCTCCCCCCCCCCTCAAAAAATATCTTTACCCCTCGTAGGTATATATACTAACAACACCTTACATACAACAGAGAAAGTGGTATCTATTGACTCTGTAGTAGTATCTACTGACTGTACCGTAGTATCTACTGAGCCAGTAGTAGCTACTGACTGTGTAGTAGTATTTAGTGACTGGAATAACTACTGACCATAGTAGTATTTACTGGGCCTACAGTAGTATCTACCGACTATATACTCGTAACGACTAACTGTATAGTATCTGCTGACTCTATAGTTGTATCCACTGACTATAGTAGTAACTATAAAATCTATAGCAGTATCTACTCACTCTATAATAGTATATACTGACTCTAGTAGCTACTCACCGTGGTAGTATGTACTGACTGTATAGTAGTATATACTGACTGTTTTAGTATTTACTATAGTGGTATCTACCAACTCGATAGCAGTATCTACTATCGCTACAGCAGTGTATACCGACTGAGGTCGTACCTGCTATCACTACAGCAGTGCATACTGCTGTGTTGGTACCTGCTATGACGACAGCAGTACATACTGTGGTGGTACCTGCTATGGTGACAGCAGTGCATACTGCTGTGTTGGTACCTGCTATGATTACAGCAGTGCATACTGCTGTGGTGGTATCTGCTATGATGAGAGGAGTACATTCTGTGGTGGTGGTACCTGCTATGATTACAGCAGTGCATATTGACTGTACTCATCATTCACCCTCACCATTCACCACTCACAACTCACCCTTACCACTCATCCTCACTACTCACCACTCCCACTCACTATTCACCATTCACCCTCACAACTCACCACTCACCAATCTCCCTCACCAATCTCCCTCACCAATCTCCCTCACCACTCACCCTCACCACTCACTGTCACAACCACCACTCACCCTCACCACACAACCTCACCCTCACTACTCACCATTCATCCTCTCCAATCACCACTGACCAATCACCACTCACCACTCTCCACTAACCCTCACCACTCAACCTCACCACTCACCCTCAAAACTAACCACTCTCTCACCACTCACCCTCACCACTCAGCACTCACCCTCACCCCTCACCACTCACGCTCACCACTCACCCCTCACCACTCACCCTGACCACTCACCACTCATCCTCACCAATCACACCCTCACCAATCACCACTCACCCGCACTGCTCATCCTCACCACTCACGCTCACCCTCACCACTCACCCCTCACTAATCACCACTCATAACCGCCACTCACCCTCACCACTCAACACTCACCCTCACCACTCACCCTCACCACTCACCCTCACCACTCACCCTCACTACTCACCACTCATCCTCACCAATCACACCCTCAACAATCACCACTCACCCTCACCACTCACGCTCACCACTCACCCTCACCACTCACTCTCACCACTCACCACTCACCCTCACAACAACCACTCACCCTCACCGCTCACCACTCACCCTCACTACTCACCTCACCACTCACCACTCATCCTCACCAATCACACCCTCACTAATTACCACTCACCCTCACTGCTCACCCTCACCGCTCACCACTCACCCTCACCACTCAACCTCACCCCTCACTAATCACCACTCACAACCGCCACTCACCCTCCCCACTCACCCTCACTACTCACCACTCATCCTCACCAATCACACCCTCACCAATCACCACTCACCCTCACCACTTGTCACTCACCCTCACCACTCACCACTCACCCTCACCATTCACCCTCACCACTCTCCCTCAGCAAGAGTAAATAAATAAAAAAAGCGTTAAATAAATAAATAAAGATAAATCGCACTAAATCGATAATCGGTCCGATTTAAAGTTTAGAGACGAAAAATCGGAAATGCCTAAGTTTACCGCGGGGCCGGGGGCGTGCCCACCTGCAAAATTTAATCTCGTCGAACCCCACGGTCCGAGAGCTAAATCCCCCGGTAGGGAGCGTACGCGGACGGACGGACGGACAAAAAATGAATTATATAGGTTAGATAGCAGCCAATTACTCAACATGCACGTTGATTCAAAATGTGGAGGGAAACACCAGAGGATCTGGATAAAAAATCCACAGGACCACGGGGAGAGAGAGAGAGAGAACAGGCAAACTCCAAATATACAACAGGCATCCATCAGGGTTGGGATCGAACCCACGACCTCCTGCATACCTGGCGAGTGATTTGACATCTCGCTGCCGAGTGGCAACGGGCAGCGACGTCTAACCAACTCCCGCGCGAAATGACGTTGCGGCTGCACAGGGTGCTCTGGGTATTTTAAAGACGACGGCTCTCTGTGCGCCCCCCCACCCCCGCCGGGTTTACAGTGCGAGAACATTGCGGAGGAGTTTGAGGACGACATCATCTCGCTCTTCGTTCACGAGACAGACCATGTCGCCGACAAGCTGTGCAGCAAAAAATCCGGCAAGTCTCAAACTCCCCCCCCCCGCCCGAACGTGAGCCGTGTGGCAGTGGTGGTTAAGCAGCAGCGAGTCCGCACCCACGATTAGCACGGTTGGCTACGTACAGTGCGAAAGAAGTTCAACATTTTACATGTAACTTTAACATTCGTACAGCAGTGAAGGTTGCGGAAACTCCCTTCCTATCCGTGGGTAGAAATGTGGACTCCACCTGTTTTGATCTGCATGGGATAGAGTGTTGCTCCCTCGCACTTGTGGGGTTTTATCCGGGTGCTCCGGTTTTCTCCCACTTGGAAAACAAATCAATTGGCCAATAACACCTTCACATGTAGAGGACGGCAGAGCTTTGGGGGACATTCTGGGTGATTTGATCCTCGGCTATTTAAAAAAAAAATGACACTTGAATTTCGACAAGATTTGTGTGATCGGCCAACCCTCGCCTCCACGTGGCTGGGAATGCGTAGCCACCGCTGCCCGGCTAATTCACAAAAAAGGAAATTTCTAGACGCGAAAACAATGCTATGGTGGCCACTTGCTTGGTGCTCCCATCATGCCTTGCGCGTCACGTGTCACCACCACACCGCATTGCACAATAGCGCACCGCCTTGTGATTGGTCACTGGCTGAGCTTGTTACCATTTCGGGATGATCTACGAATCGGTAAGATTGTGTCCACGTTGGAAGGCCGTGGACAAAACGCTCAATTATTATTCTGGTTGTTTACCCAGGAGAGCTTCACCGAGTCTCAAGACCCCTTTTCGTGAGGGACCTGTCAATATGTCTCAGTGCGTGTATTTCGCGAGTTGGACGCGTCGCCCGATCGAGTGCTACGGAGGCGCGGACGTTGCCGCACGTTTCCCGTGTAGCAGTTCGTCGGGTAATCTTGTCAGCGTCGGGGTGGTTCTTGCGGCCGGTTCCCGGTTACGCTGCGGCAAGACGACAAGACGGCGGTCGTCCCAGCTGCCGGCAGAGCAAACATGGGGCCGATGCCGCGCGTGTGTGTTTACGGCCGGGCGAGCGCCGTCCGGTTACACACGTTGTTGTCGCTAGCCGCGCCAGGGTACACACGCTCACGGCCAGAGTGGCTTGCGATCGTTTTACACGCGTAGTAGTAGGTGGTGGTGGCGGCGGCGGCGGCGGCGCAGTGGTGACGCTCGCGCATCGCACCAAGGAGGGGCCTGGGTTAAATTACCGACGATGGCGCCTTTACGCGTATTGGGCTTTTCTATGTCCTCTGTTCCCCCTGTTCCGCAGAGCGAGTGCATGACGGTGTGAGAGAGTGTGTGTGTGTGGGTGTTTGTGGGTGTGTGTGTGTGGGTGTTTGTGGGTGTTTGTGTGCGTGGGTGTGTGTGGGTGTGTGTGGGTTTTTGTGTGTGTGGGTGTGTGTGGGTTTTTGTGTGTGTGGGTGTGTGTGAGAGAGTGGGTGTGTGTGGGTGTGTGGGTGTTTGTGTGGTGTGAGAGAGTGTGTGTGTGGGTGTGGGTGTGTGTGTGTGGGTGTTTGTGTGGTGTGAGAGAGTGTGGGTGTGTGTGGGGGTGTGTATGTGTGTGGGGAGTGGCAGTGCAGCAGTCAGCAGGCTGCACTACGAATCCGGTGACCCAGGCTCGATTCCCGCTCATGGTCAACACCGGTGATGATTATCTGAACCGGTCCTGGGCCTCCCCTCGACTCAAATGATTACCTGGTGCAGTGTGTAAACATCAGCACTGAGGAGACAATGGCAGCCAGGCGTTGTTAGCTACCCACCCCCTCGTGTGCCATTACAGCCTTCATTGGTGCTGATCGCTAACAGCAATTGCCCCAACAGTCTGTAACAGGCTATACGGGGGATCTTTGTTTGAGATTGTGTGTGGGGTTTGTATGTTCTCTATGGGTGTCCTCCCATAGCTAAAATAAAACCATTCACTGGAACTGGTATTGGCCAAAACATCCCCAGTGCTGAAGAATCACCTGAAAATTACTCCATTCATGTTACACAGCAGCAGCAGCATTGCCCCCTACTGGGAAATCTTGCCAGGATCCTCTTGAAAAGGAGTCTTCAGACTCCATGAACCTTGCCTGGTTAAACTCGCGTAACAACCCCGTCTGCACTTCACTCGGTTCTGGGAATTTAAAAAATCTCTTTGTCCGTGATGCGATGAACTGTGTGTATGTTAAACTTCTTTCGCACCGTACGTAGCCAGCCGTGCTGATTGGAAGTATGGGGAAAGGACAACAAACAAAACAGAAAAACAGAACTACCAAAATTTTTCTGTGATATCTTCTTCCGTGGGCGGAGGAGTTGCACTTCTCTACGCGAGATCCGAATGGATTCTTTGCGTCTATGGATCCATTAGAATCAGAATATAATTTTGGGGAAAACTATAAAAACAACACAGAACCCTCGAGTAACCTCGTTTTTGTTTCTTTGCAGATTACTGCGAGCACACGTTGCACGTTCCGCACGACGAACTCTGAAGTGGGGGGGGGGGGGCTTCTCCAGTTAATGACACGGACACGAGAATATGCGGACGACACACAGAAGACACACGGACGACACACGGACGACACACGGATGACACAGATGACACAGACGACACACAGACGACACAGAGACGACACAGATGACACACGGATGACACACGGATGACACAGGTGACATACAGATGACACACAGATGACACACAGGTGACACACAGATGACACATGGGCGACACGCGGACGACACGTAGACACAGCGGACGACATGCGGACGACACGTGGACACGCAGATGACACACAGACGACACGCAGATGACACACAGACGACACGTAGACACAGCAGACGACATGTGGACGACACGTGGACACGCAGATGACACACAGATGACACACGGGCGACACGCGGACGACACGTAGACACAGTGGACGACACGCGGACGACACGTGGACGACACGTGGACACGCAGATGACATGCTGACGACACGCAGATGACACACGGATGACGCGTGAACAAGCAGGCAACACGTGGACACGCGGACGACACGCGGACAACATGAGCACACCGGCCTCTTAACAAGCAGCAAGCGATGATACCGGCACGTAGCGGACATCTCGTCGCACGGATCACAACGGTTGCGCAGCAGCGACTCGGCGCTGCCGTGGACCGCCACCCCCCACGCAGTCCCAGGGAGGAGCGGCACGGCTCGTTGCACGTGGAGATCTTCCAGGAGATGTGTCGCTCGTTCTTGTTTTCTTTCTGGTGAACACAATCGGTCAGATTTAGCGTCTCTGGAGATTTGTGCCGTAACCATCGTACATTCTTCGAGCTTCGCCCATCTCTCTAACTCCCGCCAAATGTGTTGTTGGCGGCCCCCGGGATGAGTTTGTCAAAATTCCACATTCCTATGGCAGGGGCCAATCTCGACATAATGACCACTATTGGCCACCCACAAAGTGGCAGTGATTATATACAACTCTCCCCCGAGGAATGATGCCTTTTGAGAGCAAAGTCATCTGCTGACTGGGATTTCAATTGTCAGCTGAGCACTCGAATACCCTCCACCCGTGCTGAGCCAGTGAGGGGCCACCATAGCACGGGTGGTTTTCCATTGGCCACTGGAGCCAAAGCGTGCGTCTCATTCGCCTCTGTCGCACCCCAACTCGCTGGCTCCAGCCATCCAGGGTAAACGCCATGAGAAGTGGCACGGACTTGCAATTCCTGCTTTCAATTTGCGCTCGATGATTTTTTTGAAAAAGATTTATAGAGCAGCACCCGATTTTGCTCGACGTTCACTTGACGTGGCATTCAGAAGCCGCCGGTGGCTGTAGCCGTTGGCCTTTTGTTGACGGCGCCGATGATGACGCGGACTGGCAGCGCGCTCCGGGCAGCCTCCCGTCGTTATGGTGGCGCCGCAGTGGCTAGGAGATGTTAACTACCTCGCCCAGTATACAGGAGGTCGTGGGTTCCATCGCGACCCCGACGCCTGCTGTATATTTGGAGTTTGCGTGTCTCTCCTCGTGGTCGTGTGGATTTTTCGCCGGCCCCTACAGTTTTTCCCTCCACATTTAAAAATAGACGTGCGTTTGTTTAGATTTGATAAATTTCCACATGACCATAAGCCACTTCATTTGGGCTATTATTTGTGGCCAGGTCACTTCTGAGAAAGAGCGGTTAGCTCAGTGGGCCTTATCTGCTAAAATAATAAAAAATAGTTGAGTTACCTGGCGCCGATGCCAAGCATCCCTCATGCTGAAAAACGTATCGACAAGTTCACTGAATTGGGATTAGATGTGGCAACAACACCACCCCCCTGCCCCCCCTGCCCCCCCCCCCCCCCCCCACTGCAAAAACTTGGCAGGACCCTCCTGAGAGAGAGAGCCTTGAGACTCTGACAGCCGATGTGATTTGCGTAGAGCATGCAACGACGCACCCAGCCGATGTGACCTCTATCTCGGTGGAGTATCTGTAATTGGATATCCCTCTCTTTAAAAAAAAATGGAAGCAAACGTGATCCTTTGCGCGTGAGATTCAAGATTGAGAATTGGCGTCGATAAAAATTAACCGGTAAAAACAAAGTTTTTCACTATAAATCCTTTATGTGCGTGGCGGCTAGAGTCATCTCGTCCTTTGGCTTGAGATGGCTGCCACCTATGGGTCAGATGATTGTCTGCCACCATTAAGCAATTGGTAATTACATATAAAAAAAATTCCTAAAAAGTGTAAAATTTTGGAAAAAAATTTCACGAAAATTAATTGTCACGCACAACGAGTCTGTGTGCAAAATGTCAGCTCGATTGGATCACGGGAAGTGGGTTAAAAAACGACCGAAAGATTTGCACGTTCGTAAGCAAGCAAGCACGCAAGCACGCAAGCAAGCAAGCAAGCGAACTTAATATAAAGGAGGAATCCGATGAGCTTTAATGCTCTTTTCCACATGTCGCAGTAGGGGCGGGTCTGAACGCTACAATACAAAAATACGCACGTGTCGCGTGCCCTTTAACCGCTGACCGGTCGTTTGACCATACTTCACCGCCGGTGAGTCGGTACGGGTTGGTGATGTTGGAGGGTAGAAGGGGAGGGAGGGAGCGATGATGAGAGCCGTGACTGAGGAATCCAACTCGAGCCGCTGCGGTTGGAGTCGCACCACTTACACCAACCGCTGCTCGTATGTTGAACTCCTTTCGCACCGTACGTAGCCAACCGTGCGAACCGGTTGGCTTATTAACACACCACCACCAACCACCGCTTACTCTGCGTACGGTTGATGTAAAGAGCAACAGCTGCACTGCCACTGTGTTAACCCAGGGCAGCTGAGAATGACGGAATCCTGCACCTTGGAGGGGACCCCACGGCCTCGCCCACTGTGTCAATCCGCTGCTAGATGAGCGCTGCCGGATGAGCGCTGCCATTCGGTTATGGAATTGCGGTCCAATCCCAGTGCCACGGGCTGGCTGCCTTTTCTCCAGACGGCTCGAGCCGGTTTCATTGCAATTTGATATTTTTAATAAGAAAATAATAAAAATGTGTAAGGTGACAATGGTTAGCCGTTTCCTTTTTTAAATTCTGATCTCTCGTGCCAGTATAGGGCATGCTGTGACGGCCCCTTTCCCAGCTATCAAATGCTCGTTTTGAATTGGAACAAATGCTGTTTATTTAACTGATGGGGGCTTGTTAGAAACTGAATTCCCGAACCTTCCAGCACGTGGGTTGAAAGGTCAGGCAGTGCCGGACTATTCGCAGTTTTGACCAGGTGGTGGTGGCGGCTGCGCTGCACGCGGCTGCCTGTAAGCCAGCACTGGATCACTGCAAGATGAGCTGTGAAATGCCCTTCCCGTGGCTGTGGAACCATACTGGTCTATCGGCAATAAGGACAATTATGGTTCATGTGCAATGTAAATCTATGGGCAGTGGTAGTCTATGGGCCATATTCGCCTATGGGGCAATGTTAGTCGATGGCCAATATTCCAGTGTGTGGGTCCAATCCTGACCCTGACACCTCTTTATTTGGAGTTTGCATGTTCTCCCCGTGGTCACGTGGATTTTTCTCTGGGTCATCTGGTGTTTTCCTCCACATCTAGAAACATGCATTCATCGTATTTGGCTGCTGTTACACATTTCCACAATAAGCCACTTCGTTGGGCTATCATTTATCCAGGTCGCTTCTGAAAAAGCTACAGTTGTGGGCCTTACCTGTTAAAATAAAAAATGTGTTTACACTCAACACGAGGTACTAATTTGAGGCTTAGTCGACCTAGGGGACGGACCGGTTCAGTTAATCGAGTGATAACACACACATACACCTGTGTGCGTGTGATAAACCTTGTGTCAATCCACTGCTGGATAAGAGCCTCCCTACGCAGTCAAGGCAGGGGGCTGCTAAAGTTGACCGCACGCTGCCATCACCACGCTTGTCGGTGTGGTCTGGTGCAGGCCGCGAGGGACAGGACTCGGTTCAGTCCATACAACACGCGCCACCGATGATAGCCGTGGCTGGGATTGCGATGCATAGCCACATCCAAATCGCAACCGCTGTTGAAGAAAATTCACACGATAGTGATGTTGACATTCTGGCAAAAGGAGTTGTTTTTTATTTGTTATACACATATATAAACAAGTTAGTTATAGGCAGAGTTAAGAGAGGTCTTGAACCTGGATTCGATCCGACAACACGGATGGCTGTGGGAAGGGCGTGACACGAAGTAGAGGAGTACGAGCGCTACCACCCACTGAGTGAAGTCTGACTGGCCCCTGCCCTGGGAATGTGGAATTTCCACTGCTGGATTGGGGGACAACAATGAGACATAGGTGTCTCCCTGAGTTGTCTGAATAAGGAAACACATCGGGATGGGTTGATAAACGACACTAAAATCTATAAAATGTTGAAAGCCACGTCTAACGTACGATATTTCAGTTTGGCACGAAGACTTTCGCGACCAGTACGAATGAGTACATTCCAGTCGATGCCAAATTCAATTTGGTTTTATCCTACAGTGTCGCGGGAAATTACGTCACACAGACACTTCATCCGTGTTTTCAACCCCCCAAAAGTGGAGTAACGTGGGTGACACGTTACTACGATAAATTATTTACGCAACGTCGACGACCTAAAGACAAATATAACCTGCGAAATGTATAAATGGAAACTCATCCCGAACAGAGAGGTTGGCGGGGAATGGGTGGGGAGGGGGCGGAGAGGGGGCATGGAGGGGGAGGGGGTGGGGAGGGGGCAGAGAGGGGCATGGAGGGGAGGGGAGGGGGTGGGGAGGGGGCGGAGAGGGGGAGGGAGCGTGGAGGGGCGGGGAGGGGGCCTGGCACAGCTCATCGGGTGAACTGGCGCCGGTCGGGTTTGCCCACGGCGCCGCTGGTCTTGCCGGTCTTGCCGGCCTTGCCGGCCTTGCCCACGGCTCCGCCGGCCCTGCCCACGTGCTTGTAGGTCTTGGCGCCGTAGTCGTGCCAGCTCTTCTGGTGGCCGAAGCCGAAACCACCGCCACCTCCGCGCTTCTGCAGGCCCTTGCCCTTGCTGCTGTGCACGTCTGGAGGGGTTGGTGTGAAGGAATCTTTTGAGACTGTGTGCAGTGATGGCGGGAGACCTCGGGGGGGGGGGGGTCAGGGTCGCGTGTGCGGTGGTGGCAACAGAAGTAGGAGTTTGAATCCTGGACAGGGTGCAGACTCGGGACCGTTTTTATGGCCACCATGACGACAACGACGCCGCGCGTTTCAATGAATCAGCGCCACCGTCGTCGTCAGCAGTCATCCCTTCAGGACCCACCATCTCCGATCACGATCATCAACGTCGCCATCACCGAAAATGGATGATCATCATCAAAATGAGCTCCTGATATAATCACAACTATTACAATCGCCAGTCACAACCAATCACTATCACCGTCAATCATCTCCACCACAATCATCCTTACAACCAATGATCAACGGCTTATCACCACTAAATGGAGGTGACGTCACTAAAGCACTTGTGCCATGGTAGGTGCACTTTGAGGCCGTGTGAAGTCTCCAAGGCTCGCTGCTGGCAGGAGGAACAAGGACAGACCCAGGTGTAATGGGGTTAACTGAGGTAACTGGCAGATGCACCGCCTGTGCCCCCTGCTGTGCCAACTTGTGACATTTTAGCCGCCCAGCGCTCAACTGGTTGTTGTGTCGCTTCTCCGCCCTCCATCGTTGCTGGAGGGCGATTGCCTCCAACTGCCCAATGGAATCCTTCACGAACCTCCTCCACAGTGGCCGATATTGACACTGCTGGTACCAGGCATCGGCAAGTCCAATCAGCACCATCATCCTTCTGTACTGCATCGGTCAATCTCTTCTCCAGTTCGTGCCGCATCCATTTAGCCCCCACTATCCGGCCAACCAGAAGCTGCTTGGGCAAGCGGTGGCTAGGCATGTGGGCTACGTGACCCAGTCAATGATCATCACCACCATGACAATCACCATGTATGCTACTTTGAAATTCTTTCGCACCGTACGTAGCCAACTGTGCTAATCTGAGACATTATAACTACGTTCTCCAACCAAGCAACATTGCCATCATCATTACAACCAAAGATTAGCACGGTCGGCTACATAAGGTGCGAAAAAGAAAGTCAACGTACATACGTCACGGCCAAACATCATAATTATCACCTCAAACAATTATCACAACCATCACCATGACCCATAATCAGAATCCATTAACTACTCGTCACCATGACGACGACGCAAGGATACTGAGGTCGACGAAGGGCGGCACGCGGAACCCGAAGGACAGCGCGGCCTTCTGCAGGTCCAGCGTGGAGACGTTGTAGATCTGCTTGAGCGAGTGAGAGTCGTAGGCCCGCACGTAGGCTTTGTAGGCCTCCTGCGCAGACTTGTGCAGGTAGTAGTTCTTCTCTATCAGCTTCTCCATCTACCGGGGGGGGGGGGGGGGGGGTGCGCGCACAAGAGAGAGAGAGAGAGACAGCGTGGTGAGTGGGGAGGGGGCGAGAGAGAGGATGAGGTGAGGGGGGGCACAAGAGACGGTGAGGCGAGGTGAGGGGGGGGGGCACGAGATGGTGAAGCGAGGTGAGGCGAGGGGGGGCACGAGAGAGAGGGTGAGGCTGGGTGAGGTGGGGTGAGAGACAGGACGAGGTGAGGAGGGGGGGGGGGGGCACGAGAGAGAGGGTGAGGCAAGAGGCTGAGTCGACCTAGAGGCAGCCCAAAACCGGTTCAGATAAACACCACTCTTATTGGCTGCGTGAGTGGGAATCGAACCCGGGTTGCCGGGTTCGTAGCGCAGCACGCTAACCACTGCACAACTGAACACGCACACATGCGTATCCTCACGTGCGTCCAAGCATAATCCATCTCAGTGGCAAATGCTGACGCTCACCAACTCTCACCAATGCTCACCTGGGACTGGATGTCGGCGATCTTGGACCAGGAGAACTCGAACTCGCTGAGCGGCACCTGCACACGGCACCATCGTCATCATGGTTATTGTCATCATCATTATCGTCATCAGAGTCGTCATGATTATTGTCATGATCGTCATCATCATCATCGTCGTCATTGTCGTTTATTGTTCGTACCGTGCCTCCCATGCATTGACATGTCGCGGCACCAGGGTATATGGCGTCTGAGGTCACGGTTACGTGAGGGAGTGGTCACGGACCAATGCACCACTCAAATACAGATGCAGTAGAGATACGGCAGAGAGTCGATTCGCACAACAAATTAAACGTTCACCTGTGCCGGCTGTCAAACATAATTTAAGTCGGTAAGGAGTGTGCGAGTCTATGGATCTCTACGCGAGCGTGTGGGTCTCTGCGCGAGTCCGTGGGTCTCTGCGCGAGTCCGTAGGTCTCTGCATGAACTCGTGGGTCTCTGCGCGAGTCCGTGGGTCTCTGCGCGAACTCGTGGGTCTCTGCGCGAGTCTCTCGGTGGAACTCACCCGCGCCTGCTTGAGGTAGCGCAGGAATCCGAGCTCCTCGGGGCGCAGGATGAGCAGCGCGTGGCCTCGGCCTCCGATACCGCGCGCTGTACGGCCCACGCGGTGGATGTACTCCTGCAGACACGGCGTCACAACCAGAGTCACGACCACGGAGTCACGACCACGGAGTCACGACCACAGAGTCACGACCACAGAGTCACGACCACAGAGTCACGACCACAGAGTCACGACCACAGAGTCACGACCACTGAGTCATGACCACGCGGAGGAGGAAGTCGCAACCACGGCGCCACGACCACCACCACGACCACCACCATGACCACCACCACCACATCGCGGGGAGAAGGGAGGCCGCCAATATGAGTGGGACGTCTCATGAACGAAATGTTCACCTGGGATGCCTGTTATAAGACCCGGACTTTATTTCATTTGGTAAGGAGTGTGCGACTCTCTGCGTCTCAATGTGAGTCTATGGGGTCTATGCGAGTATGTGGGTCTCTATGCGAGTCTATGGATCTGTATCCCATTGTGTGGGTCTCTTTGTGAGTCTATGGGTCTCCACGCGAGCGTGTGGGTCTCGATGCGACATTCGTTTATGGCATGGAAGTGTGCGGAAAAGCAGCCTTGAATCAGCTGCGAATAAACCAAACGCACGTTGGCAGCCCAGCGCTCCGACATGGCCATTGTGAACTTCCACCACTGGGGCCACGCGGCATGCTTCTGGTACAGCTGACGTGCTGGCCAGTCTGTGTCAGCCGCTGATGTTGCCCCGAATGTGCGTGTACGTGCCTGGGGTGCGTGTGTACGCTTGTGTGCGTGAACACGTGTGTGTGCCTGGCTTGTGTGTGTGTGTACACGTATGTGCGTGTCTTGGGTATCTGTGTGTACGTGTGTTTGCCTGCATGCGCTCAAGTGGAGTGCACATATTTGCGTGTGTACATATCTGCTGCTCGTTTATCTCATTACGCCTGGAGGTCAGTCCCGTGACCACCTACCGCCAGCGAGCCCTTCAACATTTCACACGGCCGCCTCAACGCGCACCTAGCATGGCACCAGTGACTCCGGGACATCGCCGCCACTTGGTGGCGAACGGCGGCCGCCGCTGCCGCTGTTGTTATTGTTGTTGTTGTCATCGTACCTTGGGGTCATCGGGGGGGTCAAACTGGACGATCCAGTCGACCTCGGGGATGTCGAGGCCGCGTGCCGCCACGTCGGTGCAGAGCAGCGTCCCCGAGTCGGCGTTGCAGAACTGGAAGAACGTTGTCGTGCGCTTTGTCTGCTTCTGCTTGCCCTGTGGGGGGGCATGGGGATGTGAGCTTATGCGTGGGCACACGTCACGAATACCACCACCGCCATCATCACGACCAACAAGTTGGCCCGATTGAAAACTCATTTCTTTTGAACTGCTTTTGTTTAGTTTTTTGTTCTTCCCCCACACCTCCGATTTGCACGGTTGGCAACATACGGTGCGAAACAAATTTTACGTACATTTGTACATCATGACCATCACCGCCTCCACTGACATCATCATCATCATCACCTCCATTGCCACCATCACCACAACCACTTCCACAACCAGCATCACCACCACCACCGTCACAATCAACAACATCATCAAGGCAACCATCGCCAAACCAGGTTCTGATAATTAACACTTGGGGCCCTGATGTATTACTGCGTGTGCTTTAACCAGGGAAACACTGTGTGCCATCTGTTTCTCAGTGGGCATTGTAAGATCCATTGACGTCATTATAAGAGAGTAGGCTGCGTGTGTGCCGGCTTCGCCGTCCGAATTTTCCAAAATCGAAAGTGACACCGCAAGCGACTGAACTGGAATCGTACGGCAGTAACCATCGGCCCGCCTCCTGGCAGCAGACTAGTGCCACGGTCACTCGTGCAAATGAGACTCCGTGACGGTCTCTTCAGAGTTCTAGCCTGCTTAAAACTACAACTAAACTGAGCAGGGCGATCACTGGCCACGAACTGCAAGCCTCTGCAACGACCCGGTAAACCGTTGGCCCGTGTGGCGAGGTGAGGCGGTGGTGGCGGCGGTGCACGCACGTGGATGCCCATGACGGGGAGGTCGATGTAGTTGAAGAGCTCGTAGTGGAACTTGACGGACATGCAGGAGGAGAAGAACACCATGATCTTCTTCTTGCGGTTCTTCTTGAGGAAGGTGAAGAGCAGCAGGAAGCGCTTCTCCGATGGGCACACCACGTAGCCCTGCGGGGGGGCGGGGAGACACACACCGGCGCACGCTCAGTCAATGGGGCCACAGCAACCGCTGGCGAGGCCCGGACGGGAGACCAACATACCTCCAACAACCGGGAACTTTGCCGCCGATCATGATCGACGTTACTAAAGGGTAAAGGCGCAGCCCCTGCGTTTGATCACTCACGCTGCTGCCGGCGGAAGGGGGCCGAGGGGGGCCCCCGGGGGGGTCCGCTGATGTTCCGGCCGAAATCCAGCGCCAGTCACAACATTAACATGGGGTGCTACGTTGCCGGGATGTTAACTACCTCGCCTGGTATACAGGAGGTCGTGAGTTCGATCCCAACCCTGATGCGTGTATATTTGTCGTCTGCATGTCTCTGTCTCTCCGTGGTTGCGTGAATTTTTCTCCAGGTCCTTTGGCTTTTCCCTACACATTTAGAATCAACATGTGTTTAGAGTATTTGGACTCTATCAATTTCAACATAACCCAATTCGTTGAGCTATGCTTTGTGGCTAGGTCGCTTCTGTAAAAGACAGCTACGTAGCTCAGTGGGTCTTACCTGGTAAAATACTAAATATGTATAGTTTAGTTTAATCAACATCGTCGACGGCCGCCAAATTCGGCGCGAAGCGGCGGCGACGTTACCGCCGCGGCGTTCGTGCCAGGCTAGGTGCACCGGGGGGACGACGATGCTCGCATCGCCTGCGCCACACCTGCTCCAGGCCGTCCACGGTGGCGGTTTCTTTGTGGTCGTCCACGCCAACGTACAACGGCTCCTTCTTCAGCGAGATCTTGGCCAGATCCTCGATCTTTCGCGTCTGTGTCGCCGAAAACAGCATCGTCTGCCGTTTCTCTGTGCGGGGAGGGTGGTGGTGGGGGGAGGGAGGTAGAAGCCAGGAGGGAGGAGGAATTAGCCACGCTCTCTTGTCCTGCTTACAATTGGAACGCAGAGATTTGCAACACGCACAATATTATGCGGAATTAAAATGACAAATGACTCCCGAGGCGCCGAGCCAAGATAAAAGTGCCACGAGAAAGGCACGAGATGGGGCCTTTAAGAAAGAGGTGGAACCTTTAAGCGTCTCTTAAAAACAAGTGTAGGCCGAACGCCGCCACTGCGATTGTGCATTAGCAGCAGCAGAGGGACGGTGATGGTTGCATTCCCGACGTTGGCGGCTGCCATGGAGAAACGGCTCCTCGCTATAGACAGGCGGTTGTGCGTCGCGTCACTGCCACTTCTGTGACGAGCTCTACCGTGTGCCCGTTAGTGCAGGACGTCAGCAGCTCATTCAAGCTGGCGGTCGCTCATCCACAAGCGGTCTGGTCTCAGACCCGCCCCCTCCACCCCGCCCCCCCACTTAACCCCGATGAGAACCGGTCGCGTTCCGGGTGGAAACCGGCACGGCGCCAAGGCATCGGCGCCTGAAGGCGGCGGAACTCACTGGGCAGCAGGCGGATGATCTGCTTGATCTCCTCCTCGAAGCCGACCTCCAGGATGCGGTCAGCCTCGTCGATCACCAGGCACTGCAGGTTCTTGTACATGAACGTGTTCGTGTTCTGCGGAAGGGGACAGGAGGAGGACGCGCCGACGTCGGGTCAAAGTCGGAGAAAGCAATTTCCCGCCGCTAAAAACGAGCGTCGAGGCATTGCTTAGCTCGGCTCCCGTTTTACTAGGCCCTGCGGAGCGAGCGGCGGAAATTCCACATTTCTTTAGCGGGGAGACAAATCTCTCTGAAGGACAACGACTGCTGACGTCCCGACAAAGTGCTGCTCGTTTTATTCGGCACTGGGGGGGATGATGGGGCTGTGGATTTTAATTTGCAATCCGCTCGCTCTCCCGCCAAGCCACCTGACGACTTGCCAATGACCGCGCAACAAAAACCTCCCCCACCACATTCGCCGCCCGGTGGCAGGGGACCAACGCTGCGTCCGTGCGCAGTGCCACGCTGGGACAGCTGCCGCTGGGAGCGTGGGGTCCCCCCTGTCTGAGGCTAGCCTGCAGCGGGACCCATCGCAATGAACCGTTGAGATGAGGTGCAAGGCGCACACGAGTATGCAATCTCCCACTCACTCCCTTACCTTGCGTACTCACAAGAGACACGCTTTGTATGTATGTTGAACTTCTTTCGCACCGTACGTAGCCAACCTCGCTAATCAGAGGTGCCCCTGACGCAATACTAGAAATCGATCGGCTACTGGGAATGGAACGAGCCGGGTGGACCGAACGCCCCCCACCGCCTCATCTCGTTCTCACGCTCTCACCTGCATGTGATCGAGCAGACGGCCCGGTGTGGCCACCAGGATGTTGATGCCCTTGGCGAGCTTCTGCGCCTCGGCGGTGCGGTTGCTGCCGCCCATGACGAGGCCGTAAGTGTGCACGTGGTGCTTCATGAGCTCGCGCAGCACGCCGTACGTCTGCATGGCGAGCTCCCGTGTCGGCGACAACACGAGCACGCCCGTACCTGCACACGCAGACGCACACGCAGCCCGCAGAGGGCGCACGCGAGGACGAAGCACCCGAGCGAGTGCGCAAAGAGGTCAGTCGGTCGAACGCACAGCTCGCGCAAGATCGTCACGTGAATGCGCACATTTATTGCAACTCACTGTTGTACGGGAAGTCTGGCAAAAAAAAGACCAAGCTGCAGCATGTACAACATGTATGGCATGCGAGGGTGGAGATACTCAAAATGTAAGCTCGAGATGGAAATTAACCCACTTGCTGTACTGCCTGGCAAGCGCAGAGACAACGATGTCCACACGCACGGCAAGGGAGGGAGTTCCGTTCATTTGTATGTGACCCACAAACCCCTCGCTGCCTCCACAGCGCTGGATTAACATATCCCCATTCTGATGACGTATGTGAATGCCATCACTTTATCGGTACCGAGGCTCCCACGAGGCCATGCGGGAGAGCTTGTGGCACAGTTTGGCGCCAGCTATCAGCGTGCCGTCCTATCGCTACAGTCCTCTGCGGTGAGTACGTCTTTAAAAACAACAGGCGCTATGCCTCTCTAAACAAAACAAACGCCCAACCGCTTGCGCGTCATCGGAATGGGATAAAAAAATTGCCTCCGATGCCAAACGCTCCACTCAGCAGCGCGCGGTACGCGGGGCGCTCCACATGGGTGGAGGAATCAATGGTCGAGCGCACGGGCAGGCGGGCGAGCAAGTGCGAGACCCACCGTTGCGAGGCATGAACTTGATTTTGTAGATGAGCTCGATGGCCGGGATGAGGAACGCCAGCGTCTTGCCGCTCCCCGTTTGTGCCGCCGCCAGGATGTCCCTGCAAGAGGAGCGGGAAATTAGTTAGCGGCGACCGAAGCGAGCAGCACACCAATCTTATGCATTGCAGAGCGTATCCATGGCCTGTTCAATCACCAATATTTTCAACTCTCAAGAGCTGGAAAAAGCTAAATTAGAAACCAAATTTAGGAATTTTCTACTTGCTACAGTCATTGGTCTGTTCATAATAAAGTTTTTTTTTGGGTTACATCATGTAAATATGTGTAGTTAACCCTCCACCACCCGACACAGTGAATTTGGAAGAGCATCATGTAAAGAAAACGTGACAATTAGTTGCTACTTGAGCACACCAGTATGCACACCGGTGTGCTCAAGTAGTAACTAGTTATTATGAGTAATATTGGTCGCGAAAGCCTGTGTGTTAAATTGTTATCTGTACTGACACCACCCGGCCTGCCAGATTCGAAGTGTGAACCTCTGCAACAAAGCGGTGAGAGGTAGCATGCTACGGCTGGGCCGCCCCGATGGGGAACGTTTGTTGGTGCGTACGCGGAGATTTGCAGCGCACTGCATACGCTGCCCCCGTGCTTCCCAATGTTCGCTCACCGGCCCTCGAGCAGAGGGCGGATGCTCTTGTGCTGGATCTCCGTCATGGTGGTAAACTCCATCTCGGCCACGGCCTTCAGCGTGTACTCGGACACCAGCCCCGCCAGCGACGAAAACGACATGTCCTCAAACGCACCTGCACGGCCGCAAGCAACCACGGCAGCAGCAGAATCACAAAGGGTTAATCGTTTCATCAATTTAACTTTCAAGGTGCGAGGGGGACCGACAGACAAGCTGGAAAGACAGCCACGTGGCGAGCCAGTGCCAACAATTGCCCAAGCTCTGTGGTTCTCTATATATATAAAAAGACACTTTTAGCAAATTAACGAGCACTTATACGTGGGAGAAAATCAAAGCACCTGGGGAAAACACAATGCGTGCGAGAGGGGGCAACGTTCTATCCCATAGAGAAGGGACAGATTAATTATTCCACATATCGGCATCTACGTTTCCTTCGTTCTATGCGGGATTGGTTCGTGTGATTTTTGCGCTGTATATGCAGCTAACCTATACATATCCAAAATTCATTCATATGCAGCTACGCGGGTGGACGCGGGACCACATTGTGTGTGCACTGCATGTGCTATTCGTCAGGCACAATACAACGTACGTCTTCTCTGCTGCCCACAGCGGAGCCCCCGCCGGGAACCTATAGGGCTATGCACGCTCGACCCCTGCTTAGCTCCCGGCATGCATCCGACGAGACCGGGCGCGTTACGGGGCCATGTGTCGTACCGGTGGTGCCGATGGGCAGGGCGGGTCCATCGTCATCGTTGTCACCGTCCTTCGTCTCCCCGTCCGTTCCCTCTCCACTCCGCTTCTCGTCGTCCGTCTGCTCTTGGTTCTCCCCGTCGGCCTCGACTTCCTCGCCGCGCGGCCTCTTGCTCTCTGCAACAAACGTGACGAGAGGAACGGGTGAGCGGAGCACAACATATGTTGAATTTATTACACACCGTACGGAGACAACCGTGCTAAATGGAGGTGCGGGGAAAGGACAACAAACTAAACACAAAAAGCAGTTCCAAAGAATTTAGTTTTCAATCTAGATGATGATTTAAAAGTGTGTAGCTGCGGTGGCTTCCTAATATTGGGAGGAAGAGCATTCCAGACGGCCGCAGAAGCGCATCTGAAAGCGTGCAATGCGGTGACCGTGTTTGTTGGATGGTTAGCCAAAAGCCACTTCTGTAAGGATGACCGGAGTTCGCGCGATGGTTTATGCTCCTTGACTAGATCAGCAAGGTATTGAACCACAATTATTTGTAATGTTGTTGATGTATGCACTGAGCATCCTTGTTATCGAGCTACGTCTGTGGGAGATTAGAGCCCTGTGCAAATTTCTGTTTTTTTTCAGATGCAATTATAACTGAGGCTATGTGAAAATGTATTATGAATTTAAAATGTGAAACCAGTGGAGGTGTTAACGTCACATTGCGACGCACTGTAACAAAAAGAAAAATCACGCCACAAATTACTCAACTGCAATTGTACGCAGCAATCATCGCCAGGACCCTCCTGAAAAAGTCTTGAGTCTCAAGTAAGGCTTTCCTGGGTAGGCGAGCATGAAAGTAATACTACAATGATTTGAAATAGAACTAACCTGCCCCTCCTGGACAATTTGCGAAAGAGCTTCATAGCTCACCGGATTTCTCAAGGATAATTAAAGATTCTTAATTTCTTCTCACCAGTGCCATCCGCGTCGTTGCCCGTTGGTTGCTTCTTCTTTCTCTTCCGTCGCTTCTTCCCCTGCGCTTCCTGGCTCCCGTTCTCTGCGGGGGCCGAGGGGCTCGCGTTCCCAACGTCTGGGGCCACCCTCTCCTCCTCCTTCGCTGCGTCTGTTGCTGCTCCTCCTTCTTCCACCTCCTCCTGGACCGGTGCAGGCCTGGGCACTGACAAAGACAACCCACACATCCGTATAGCTTTAACAGACTGTTGCGGTCTTCTTGGTTCTTTGGGTGAAGTCACGTAGAAGGGAAGTAATAAAATAATAAAAATAAAACATAATAAAATTATTCGCACGACGTTTCGGCCACAATACAATCAGCCGTCCTCAGGTGAAAAACCAGGTCCGTCGAGGCGACAGAGTCTGAATGAAACAGCACACGAGCTTGGAGCATATATATATTTCACCTGAGGACGGCTGCTTGCGTTGTGGCCGAAACGTCGTGAGAATAATTTTATTATGTTTTATTTTTATTATTTTATTACTTCCCTTCTACGTGACTTCACCGAAAGAACCAAGAAGATGAATCCCTGCAGTCACGAAAGAAGCTTTAAATCGAAATAAAGATTCTGATTTTGATGCGTAACCATACACACGTGTTCCCCGTACACCCCAATGCCCTACCGACCACCTCAGGACGCGTCTCTTCCCCCGCACACGGACGGGTCGCGGTGGCGCGGCGTTGCCCCCTCACCTGGCGCGGCTTTGCCAGTGCTCCGGAGTTTGCTGTTCTTTTTCGCGAGCCGCTTGCGCAGAATCTTCATACTCAGGTCCGCCATGCCGGCCCAGACACGTGTGTGGTGGGTGAGTGAAGAAGAGCCGTGACGATTCTGAGATTCACTAGTCGAGTTATCGATTCGGGAATCGATTTCCTCCTCCTCCCCTCCTCCTTCCTCCTATCGTTATCTTCGTCCTTTTGTTTCTTTCTATTTCAGCTCTTTGTCGTTAAATTTTGTAACGGCCCCGTCTATAACTTTCGAGAAAATTGCAATAAATTGTAACGGAGATGTTTTTGTTGTGCGTGAATCGATCCGTGGATCGTGACTGTCCTGAAATGAACGCGGACGAGGAATCGTTTGTAGCCGACGCAGGCTGCTGACGTCATCAGGGCAAGTTTACCCGAGATGCAACGCGCGGGCAACGCCGCTGCGCAGACAGAGACACAGGGAGCAGTGGTGAGGGTGGTGGGGAGAGAGTGGGTTGGTGGGTGAGTGAGTGGGTGGGTGAGTGAGTGGCTGAGTGAGTGAGTGGGTTGGTGAGTGAGTGGGTGAGTGAGTGGGTGGGTTGGTGGGTGAGTGGGTGGGTGGGTGGGTGAGTGAGTGGGTGGGTGAGTGAGTGGCTGAGTGAGTGAGTGGGTTGGTGGGTGAGTGGGTTGGTTGGTGAGTGAGTGGCTGAGTGAGTGAGTGGGTTGGTGGGTGAGTGGGTTGGTGGGTGAGTGGGCTGGTGAGTGAGTGGGTGAGTGAGTGGGTTGGTGGGTGAGTGGGTTGGTGGGTGAGTGGGTGGGTTGGTTGGTGAGTGAGTGGCTGAGTGAGTGAGTGGGTTGTTGGGTGAGTGGGTTGGTTGGTGAGTGAGTGGCTGAGTGAGTGGGTTGGTGGGTGAGTGGGTTGGTGGGTGAGTGGGCTGGTGAGTGAGTGAGTGGGTGAGTGAGTGGGTTGGTGGGTGAGTGGGTTGGTGGGTGAGTGGGTGGGTTGGTTGGTGAGTGAGTGGCTGAGTGAGTGAGTGGGTTGGTGGGTGAGTGGGTTGGTTGGTGAGTGAGTGGCTGAGTGAGTGAGTGGGTTGGTGGGTGAGTGGGTTGGTTGGTGAGTGAGTGGCTGAGTGAGTGAGTGGGTTGGTGGGTGAGTGGGCTGGTGGTGAGTGGAGTGGTGAGTGAGTGGGTTGGTGGGTGAGTGGGTTGGTGGGTGAGTGGGTGGGTTGGTTGGTGAGTGAGTGGCTGAGTGAGTGAGTGGGTTGGTGGGTGAGTGGGTTGGTTGGTGAGTGAGTGGCTGAGTGAGTGAGTGGGTTGGTGGGTGAGTGGGTTGGTGGGTGAGTGGGCTGGTGAGTGAGTGAGTGGGTGAGTGAGTGGGTTGGTGGGTGAGTGGGTTGGTGGGTGAGTGGGTGGGTTGGTTGGTGAGTGAGTGGCTGAGTGAGTGAGTGGGTTGGTGGGTGAGTGGGTTGGTTGGTGAGTGAGTGGCTGAGTGAGTGAGTGGGTTGGTGGGTGAGTGGGTTGGTTGGTGAGTGAGTGGCTGAGTGAGTGAGTGGGTTGGTGGGTGAGTGGGTTGGTGGGTGAGTGGGCTGGTGAGTGAGTGGGTGGGTGAGTGAGTGGGTTGGTGGGTGAGTGGGTTGGTGGGTGAGTGGGTGGGTTGGTTGGTGAGTGAGTGGCTGAGTGAGTGAGTGGGTTGGTGGGTGAGTGGGTTGGTTGGTGAGTGAGTGGCTGAGTGAGTTGGTTGGTGGGTGAGTGGGTTGGTGGGTGAGTGGGCTGGTGAGTGAGTGAGTGGGTGAGTGAGTGGGTTGGTGGGTGAGTGGGTTGGTGAGTGAGTGGGTTGGTGGGTGAGTGGGTTGGTGAGTGTACGCGAGTGAGTGGGTTGGTGGGTGAGTGGGTTGGTGGGTGGGCTGGTGAGTGAGTGAGTGGGTGAGTGAGTGGGTTGGTGGGTGAGTGGGTTGGTGGGTGAGTGGGTGGGTTGGTTGGTGAGTGAGTGGCTGAGTGAGTGAGTGGGTTGGTGGGTGAGTGGGTTGGTTGGTGAGTGAGTGGCTGAGTGAGTGAGTGGGTTGGTGGGTGAGTGGGTTGGTGGGTGAGTGGGCTGGTGAGTGAGTGAGTGGGTTGGTGGGTGAGTGGGTTGGTGGGTGAGTGGGTGGGTTGGTGGGTGAGTGAGTGGCTGAGTGAGTGAGTGGGTTGGTGGGTGAGTGGGTTGGTTGGTGAGTAAGTGGCTGAGTGAGTGGGTTGGTGGGTGAGTGGGTTGGTGGGTGAGTGGGCTGGTGAGTGGGTGGGTGAGTGAGTGGGTTGGTGGGTGAGTGGGTTGGTGGGTGAGTGGGTGGGTTGGTTGGTGAGTGAGTGGCTGAGTGAGTGAGTGGGTTGGTGGGTGAGTGGGTTGGTTGGTGAGTGAGTGGCTGAGTGAGTGAGTGGGTTGGTGGGTGAGTGGGTTGGTGGGTGAGTGGGCTGGTGAGTGAGTGAGTGGGTGAGTGAGTGGGTTGGTGGGTGAGTGGGTTGGTGGGTGAGTGGGTTGGTGAGTGAGTGGGTTGGTGGGTGAGTGGGTTGGTGAGTGAGTGGGTTGGTGGGTGAGTGGGTTGGTGAGTGTACGCGAGTGCGTGGGTTGGTGGGTGAGTGGGTGAGTGGGTTGGTGGGTGGGTGAGTGGGTGGGTTGGTGAGTGAGTGGCTGAGTGAGTGAGTGGGTTGGTGGGTGAGTGGGTTGGTGGGTGAGTGGGCTGGTGAGTGAGTGAGTGGGTGAGTGAGTGGGTTGGTGGGTGAGTGGGTTGGTGGGTGAGTGGGTGGGTTGGTTGGTGAGTGAGTGGCTGAGTGAGTGAGTGGGTTGGTGGGTGAGTGGGTTGGTTGGTGAGTGAGTGGCTGAGTGAGTGAGTGGGTTGGTGGGTGAGTGGGTTGGTTGGTGAGTGAGTGGCTGAGTGAGTGAGTGGGTTGGTGGGTGAGTGGGTTGGTGGGTGAGTGGGCTGGTGAGTGAGTGGGTGAGTGAGTGGGTTGGTGGGTGAGTGGGTTGGTGGGTGAGTGGGTGGGTTGGTTGGTGAGTGAGTGGCTGAGTGAGTGAGTGGGTTGGTGGGTGAGTGGGTTGGTTGGTGAGTGAGTGGCTGAGTGAGTGAGTGGGTTGGTGGGTGAGTGGGTTGGTGGGTGAGTGGGCTGGTGAGTGAGTGAGTGGGTGAGTGAGTGGGTTGGTGGGTGAGTGGGTTGGTGGGTGAGTGGGTGGGTTGGTTGGTGAGTGAGTGGCTGAGTGAGTGAGTGGGTTGGTGGGTGAGTGGGTTGGTTGGTGAGTGAGTGGCTGAGTGAGTGAGTGGGTTGGTGGGTGAGTGGGTTGGTTGGTGAGTGAGTGGCTGAGTGAGTGAGTGGGTTGGTGGGTGAGTGGGTTGGTGGGTGAGTGGGCTGGTGAGTGAGTGGGTGGGTGAGTGAGTGGGTTGGTGGGTGAGTGGGTTGGTGGGTGAGTGGGTGGGTTGGTTGGTGAGTGAGTGGCTGAGTGAGTGAGTGGGTTGGTGGGTGAGTGGGTTGGTTGGTGAGTGAGTGGCTGAGTGAGTTGGTTGGTGGGTGAGTGGGTTGGTGGGTGAGTGGGCTGGTGAGTGAGTGAGTGGGTGAGTGAGTGGGTTGGTGGGTGAGTGGGTTGGTGAGTGAGTGGGTTGGTGGGTGAGTGGGTTGGTGAGTGTACGCGAGTGAGTGGGTTGGTGGGTGAGTGGGTTGGTGGGTGGGCTGGTGAGTGAGTGAGTGGGGTGAGTGAGTGGGTTGGTGGGTGAGTGGGTTGGTGGGTGAGTGGGTGGGTTGGTTGGTGAGTGAGTGGCTGAGTGAGTGAGGTGGGTTGGTGGGTGAGTGGGTTGGTTGGTGAGTGAGTGGCTGAGTGAGTGAGTGGGTTGGTGGGTGAGTGGGTTGGTGGGTGAGTGGGCTGGTGAGTGAGTGAGTGGGTTGGTGGGTGAGTGGGTTGGTGGGTGAGTGGGTGGGTTGGTTGGTGAGTGAGTGGCTGAGTGAGTGAGTGGGTTGGTGGGTGAGTGGGTTGGTTGGTGAGTAAGTGGCTGAGTGAGTGGGTTGGTGGGTGAGTGGGTTGGTGGGTGAGTGGGCTGGTGAGTGAGTGGGTGAGTGAGTGGGTTGGTGGGTGAGTGGGTTGGTGGGTGAGTGGGTGGGTTGGTTGGTGAGTGAGTGGCTGAGTGAGTGAGTGGGTTGGTGGGTGAGTGGGTTGGTTGGTGAGTGAGTGGCTGAGTGAGTGAGTGGGTTGGTGGGTGAGTGGGTTGGTGGGTGAGTGGGCTGGTGAGTGAGTGAGTGGGTGAGTGAGTGGGTTGGTGGGTGAGTGGGTTGGTGGGTGAGTGGGTTGGTGAGTGAGTGGGTTGGTGGGTGAGTGGGTTGGTGAGTGAGTGGGTTGGTGGGTGAGTGGGTTGGTGAGTGTACGCGAGTGAGTGGGTTGGTGGGTGAGTGGGGTGAGTGGGTTGGTGGGTGGGTGAGTGGGTGGGTTGGTGAGTGAGTGGCTGAGTGAGTGAGTGGGTTGGTGGGTGAGTGGGTTGGTGGGTGAGTGGGTTGGTGGGTGAGTGGGTTGGTGAGTGAGTGGCTGAGTGAGTGAGTGGGTTGGTGGGTGAGTGGGTTGGTTGGTGATGTGAGTGGCTGAGTGAGTGAGTGGGTTGGTGGGTGAGTGGGTTGGGGGTGAGTGGGCTGGTGAGTGACGTGAGTGGGTGAGTGAGTGGGTGGTGGGTGAGTGGGTTGGTGGGTGAGTGGGTTGGTGGGTGAGTGGGTTGGTGAGGTGAGTGGGTGGTGGGTGAGTGGGTTGGTGAGTGAGTGGGTTGGTGGGTGAGTGGGTTGGTGAGTGTACGCGAGTGCGTGGGTTGGTGGGTGAGTGGGTGAGTGGGTTGGTGGGTGGGTGAGTGGGTGGGTTGGTGAGTGAGTGGCTGAGTGAGTGAGTGGGTTGGTGGGTGAGTGGGTTGGTGGGTGAGTGGGCTGGTGAGTGAGTGAGTGGGTGAGTGAGTGGGTTGGTGGGTGAGTGGGTTGGTGGGTGAGTGGGTGGGTTGGTTGGTGAGTGAGTGGCTGAGTGAGTGAGTGGGTTGGTGGGTGAGTGGGTTGGTTGGTGAGTGAGTGGCTGAGTGAGTGAGTGGGTTGGTGGGTGAGTGGGTTGGTTGGTGAGTGAGTGGCTGAGTGAGTGAGTGGGTTGGTGG